CTTTTTTTTGCAGTACTGGGGATCATTAGGACCTTGTGCTTGCAAGGCAGGCGCAGTGCCACTGAGCTAAATCCCTGGCCCTGGACCTCTATTTTTAACTTTTAGGTAGATACCAAGATATGCAGTTGCGGGATCATAGTAAAAGTTTGGTTAGTTTGTAAGAAATGGCCAAACTTCTTTATTATAGTAATTCTGAATAGGTGGAAGATAATGAAACTGTTACGACCTATATACACATATGGAAAGAGGGAGAAAGTGGAATTGGAGGTGTGCATTGTGAACTCATGGTTTAATATATACGCACATAAATACAGGTGTGTATATACAAACATTTACGTATGTGTGTACATAGATACATACATCCAGTGCCCATGATTATCTGGTGAACAACGCTCAGTTGCAATAAGGACACCAAAACCAAGTGCACAGCTTGGTTTCTAAATGCCATCTTCCACTAAAAAGAATCAGTTTTCCTTGGAGAAAATACACGAAGACCTCACAAAATCTCATTGTCCCAAAAAGTAAGGAAATATTTTGAGATTAAAAAGGACATGCCAAAAGGATACAAGCGCCAAACTGACAGGGCCCCCACAGCCAAATCTGAAAATTCAAGCACTGAAATAATTAAAGGAATATAACATTAATATAAGAATTCATTATTTCATAGTGAAATAAATAAGAAGGGAAGGCTCTTTCTTACAGTAAAAGAGAGCTAATGAATACAGAAATGATGGAATTCAAAAATTATCATTTGACAGCCCTAATTATAATTAACTAAAGAAACAAGCAAAAATTTGGGGAATAACAGGATATTTACATATTCTCAAAATATCTCTTCATGAAAAACTAATTACAAGGTGGGAAATAGTCACATTTCCGTGGGGAAATGACTCCCTTATTAGGGAAGTGTTCCATCAAGGAACAAGTCAACATCATGCGCCACTGAGTCTGAGGCATGAAGAAGCATACCACATTCACCCGTGAAGCTCCTGCACAAAGTTGAGTCTAACCATGAGAAGACATCAGAGAAACTCTCCCCCGAGATTTACAGAATGACTGACCTGAACCATACATTATGAATGTTTGATACATAGATGAAAAGTAGAATTAATCTTCCATTTGCACTTTTCCAGAGCACCACTATTATAAACTTGTATTTGAAAATGTGGGACATGAGCAGATTCAGCATAAATTTCATTTTAGGAGCAGTTGGCTAAAGGAGGAACTGCATCTACAGATTAGCAGCCATTATTTGAGCAATCTGATTTTTTACAAAAGGCAGAGAGAATACTTCTGGGGTGGAAGGAAAGGCAAAGACCACAATGGAAACTGTCTTTCAAGATCTCCTCCAAGACCTTTAAATAAAAGTTCAAGCCACATCACAGTAACAAACATTTTCAAAATTATTTCTTGGACTTAGTTAATGCTAAAATTAAAAAACCTTCCTGCTGAATTTAATCAAAGATGAATAGTAGATATGATGTAAACCAATGTACACATTCAAATGCCAAGAAACAAATGTAAGTATGTAAAAGGGAAACAGTTCATGTGTTAAAGGATAATTTCCATTTTTAAAAAAGGTAAAATGACCCTCACACAGATGTAGAAATGAATACATAAGATTTTATTTCATTAATAAAGACACTGATAGTCTGCTAAAACTAATGCAAAGCAGAGATTTGTAATATTAAAATAATTGTGGCAGTGGAGCTCAAACTATTTTCACTTTTTAGTGGTGTTGGGGAGGGAGGATTGTCACTCTACTCCAGAGCTCATTTGTATATATAAACAAGATTTATTTTTGTGACTACCATCATCTACAACTTATACTGATGTAAAACAACTCCCCTGGAATCAGCCTCAGCCTTAAGCCCGTGTTCCTCAGACGATGTAAACATTTTCCCCTAGGCCTAGAGCTGTAATTTATGTCCAGACACGGAGTAAGCAAAGTCTCAGCTGGTAACGGGAATGTGCTGGACATCAGGCTAACTTCTCCACCGAACAAGCATGTGGGCAAAGGAATCCTTCTCTCCACACATAAATATTTCAGCCAAATTCGATACTGCACTGTTTTGGTTTCCTGCTGGGTGGGGGAGCCACAAGCTGATCCACTCCCCAGTTACCACTCACCGCCCCGAAACAGCTCCAGGGCGACCTGCAAGTAAAACTGCACTCTCAAGAAGGCCCTGTGCACAGCTCCAGGGCGACCTGCAAGTAAAACTGCACTCTCAAGA